TTTTTGGATAATCTTCAGTAGAATCTTGCTTGCATGTGATATCAACGATATTGTTCTATAGTTTCCACACTCTGTTGGGTCACCTTTCTTTGGGATGAGAGCAAATATAGATCTCTTCCAGTCAGTTGGCCAAGTGGTTGTTCTCCAGATTCTGCATACAAGGAAGGCCAATGAATACCACTATCATTCAGACATATGCACCAACAACCAGAGCCAAGGAAGAGGAAATAGAAGATTTTTACCAACTTTTACAGTTGGAGATAGATCGAACATGCAATCAAGATGCATTGATAATAATGGGTGACTGGAATGTAAAAGTTGGGAATAGAGAAGAAGATTCAGTCTTTCTCATTCTCCCCCCAACCCCAGTGTCAGTCCAGTTTTACAGCAGTGGCACTATGCGGTGTAAGTCCTTTTGTGACTGAGATATTTCACTCAGCTTAATGTCATCCATGGTCACCCATTTGAATAATATTGCGTGAGTTCCTTGTTTTTCAATGCAGCATAGTATTCCATTGTGTGAATATACCATAGCTTCTCTATTCATTCGTTTGTTGGTGGGCTCTTAGGTTGTTTTCAACTCTTTGCTGTTGTGAACAAAGCTGTGATAAACATGGGTTTGCATATATCTGCTTGGGCTTTTGCCATGTTCTTGCGATGCTGTATAATGCTGCTATGAACATTGGTGTACAAGTCTCTGTTTGTGCCTTAGTTCTCACTTTCTCAGGGTATATTCCAAGTAGTTGAATACCTGGGGTATATGGAATGTCTATGTTCAGCTTTTTTAGGAAGCGTCAAACTACTTTACAGAATGGTTGTACCATTTTACAATCCCACCAACAATGTATAAGAGTTCCTTTTTCACCATATCCTCTCTAACATTTATTCATTGCTGGCCTGTTAAATTTTGCCACTGTTAATGGACTGAGATGGTACCTGATTGTGGTTTTGATTTGCATCTCTTATTGCTAGTGATTTTGAGCATTTCATCCTGTGTCTGGTTGCCATTCGAATATCTTCCTCTTGAAAATTCTTTCCATTTCTTTTATCCCATTTTGTAATTGCATTATCAGTCTTTCTTGTGGAGGCCCAGGAATATTATGTAAACTTTCATTATTAACAAAGTAAATAACAAGAACCGTATGATCTTAGCAATTGATACAGAAAAGGCATTTGACAAAATACAACACCCTTTCCTGATTAAGACACTATCAGCAAAATTGGAATAAAAGGGTATTTCCTCAACATAGTGAAAAGTATATATGCAAAATCAAGAGCCAACGTAATTTTCAATGGAGAAAGACTAAAAGCATTTTCCTTGCGAACAGGGACTAGACGAGGATGCCTGCTGTCACCACTTCTGTTTAATATTGTATTGGAAGTACTTGCTAGAGCAATACAAGAAGACTTTGTTTTACTTTGAAAGAGCCACTGATGAGTTGAATGCCTTAACCTTAGGTGCGACCAGGGCTTCTTAAAGATTGATGTTGTTGTGTACCTTAGAGTTGGAACCGACCCACAGCTGATCCTCCAGCAGGTTTTCAGAGACAGTTAATCACATAGAAGGAGATTGCCCATCTTTCTCTCACAGAGCGACTGGTGGCCTCACACTTCATGCCTTCAGGATTGCAGCACAGCTTCTTGCTACTAGGCCACCAGAGCTCCCTTAAAGATTAATAGTTGTTTACAAATATAAAGCATGTAGGAGTGGGTGTTAACTTTAAAAAGAAGCAGCTTCTTAACCCTAAAATAAGAAAGGAGCTCATTAGGGTCTTTCAAGATAGAGAAAGAGAAATGAGAGAGTGCTGGAGCCTTGGGAATAGGCTATGAATTTATACAAAATACACACATACTTGTGGTCTAGTGTTAGCAGTTTGGAGTGGATTTTTCTAAAAAAGAAACCTATTTGAAGTGAATTAAAGTTGGACGTAGATTTGAAACTTGAAAATAAAAATTGCAGAACAGGTTATCTGAGATGCTGGGCTCTATGAGGAGAAATGTGGCATCAGGATTGGAGGAAGAATCATCAACAGTCTGCGTTATGCAGATGACATGACCCTGCTTGCTGAAACTGAGGAGGAACTAAAGCACTTAATGTGGTAGGTCAGGGACTGCAGTCTTCAGTATGCATTGAGACTAAATATCAAGGAAACAAAGATTCTCACCACTGAGCAAATTGGCAGCATCATAATGGATGGTGAAGAGATTGAGATTGTTCAGTTTTGGTTTGCTTGGATCCACAGTCAACACTGTTGGCACCAGCATCCAGGAAATTAAAAGACGTATTGTGATGGGAAAGTCTGTGGTTAGAGACCTCTCTAAAGTGCTGAAGTGCAGGGATGTCAGTCTGGAGCCTAAGGTGCGCCTGATACATGCCATGGTCTTTGCAATCACTTGCTATGCATCAGAGAGCTGGACAATGACTAGAGATGATAGAAGGAGAATTGATGCCTTTGAGCTTTGGTGTTGGAGAAGAGTGTTGAATATACCATGGACTGCTAGGAAAACAAACAGGTTTGTCCTGGAGAGAGTGAAGTTGGGCTGCTCCTTGGAGGCAAGGATTCTGAGGCTTCGTCTGACATACTTTAGACATGTTGCAAGGAGGGACCAGTCCTTGGAGAGGGACTTCATGCTTGGGATGGTAGAGGGACAGAGCAGGAGAGGAAGACCCTCAATGAGATGGATTGATTCAGTGACTGGGGTGTTGGGGGTGGGTGTCTTGGAGATGGTGAGGTTGACACAGGATAGGGCAGAGTTTAAGGCTGTTATACATAGGATCGCTATGAGTCACAGGTGGCTTGACAGCACATAACAACACATATACTGTACAAAGCAATTCCTGCTTTTTACAAGTTTATAGAATGTGTGAACATTCTTTTATTAGAAAATATCCTCAGATTTTTTTTAAGGTGGCTTAATGAGGTGATTTGGGAGGATAGCAAAGTATAAATAAACAATAATTAAAAAGTAATTTGTAGCAGGATAATTACAGATTTTGAAGGTTTTCCCCAAGATCAAAATTTTTGTAATTTGTTATTGTGTGCTTGCTTTCATCTGGAAGTACATTATTAGTTTTCTGGTTGCTTTGCATTTAAAATTTTATTTCCAGTGAAAAATGTGTATTTGAGGTAGATATACTCTCGGGGTTTAAATTCTGAGCAAGATGAAAAACTAACTAGAGGAGAAAAAGTACTTAATTCTGTGTGGTTGCTAATCAGCTTTAGTTAACCTAAGTAAGGTTTTTAGTGTGAAGAGTTTTATGTAAGTATGCATTGAATAATTGTTTAAAGCAGAGGGAAATTTTTAATCTTGTTTTTAGAATATCTTTCATTCAGTTAGTGACCAGATGGAAATGTGACTTTTCACTCTTTAACTATTTAGCATATGCATAATTTTCAATCTTTCTTGCTAAATTCAGGAAAGCTTTGTATTAGGCAAATAATTCTGTTCTTAGGTTTAGCCTCAGTGAACATAAACAAGTTTATAATCACTCTTGTTGTTTGTACTTTAGCTCTAATGGTAAAGAGTTATGCTGCCAGCTACTCCAAGGGAGAAAGATGGCTGGTTAATCTCCTCCCATGAGATTTCCTGCCTCTGAAAACCCATTGGATGGTCGATTCTGACTAACCATAAAAATGCTGTATGTAACTATGTACTGAATCATACCATTTATTTTGGTTATACCCTTCATATTTCCACTAAAAAATCAGCTTTTGAATAATGCCTTTTGTAGTCTCCTTATCTAAAATGTTCCTTCTCCTCTTAACATGTTATATTGCTATTTTCTTCCATTTCTCCCCTCCTTTGAATACCTACTATATCATTTAACTTACAGCGTGTTAAACTAACGTCTTTTTTTAAATGAGTTTTCCTCAGTAGACTTAATGTTTGTGAACTAGAGTTTTAGTCTGTTTTATTCGATTATGAACCCATGACTCTTAGGCATGGCATGGCATTTGGTATATACTCAGTAAAGTTAGAGAATGGCTACATGTTAACTATAGTCACTAATATGCCTCTAGAATAGTCATTTAGTTTCAAGGTAAAATTGTCATGATGATATTTTGTTCACATCATGAGTTTGCACCGGACGCAGTGACATAAGGACTCTTTTGTTTATTTTTTAATCTATATTTATAGGTTTTACTTACAAAATAAATACCCTTGTTCATCTACTGTTCATAAGGTTGGTTTTCAAAGGCCTGTTATTTAAGAAGTGGATCGTCAGTCTGGCTTTCTAGTCTGTCTTAATCTGGGAGCACTACTTAAGCCTGTCCACCATGGGTAACCCTTGTGGCATTGAGCTCCTTTGGCCCTCAGTGCAACCAGCTTTTAATTACAAAAGCCCGCCCACTGGTCCCTGTTGGTTTAAACAAGAGGCTTCCATCCCACACCTAATAGTTAATTAAATCAGGACAACCTGATTTATAAGTTTATACCTAACAATTTATTCCAGATTGTTAATGAAATAAAAAGGGTATGCACAAGATAGGGCAGGCTTCAGATCAGTTGTACATAGGGTCGCCATGGGTCGTTCTTAACTCGATGGAACCTAACAACAACAAAGAAAATGTTATCTTAGAGTAATAGTAATTAAAAAATCTTTTAAAATAAGTTAGTTACAAAACTGCCATGTAAAAACTCTTAAACTGTGCCGTTGCCATTATAACAGGTTGTTAAAGACCACCCTTTTTTTGTACAGGTGCAAGTGGCATGAAGAAAATGATATACTCTTCTGTGCTTTAGCTGTTTGCAAGAAGATCGCGTAAGTTCAGACAAAGGAGATTCTTTGTGGCGTGTTCTGATTTGAATTCCTCTGTGCCATTTTGTGTGTTTATTGCTTTGGCAGTTGGGATGAATCACTGTTCATTCCTATTTTCACAATTCTCTTTTAAAACAAAAATTGCTTTTTACTTTTATTGCTATGCCAGAATTTCTACTTGTCTGGTGTAATTACGAAGTAGTTTGGATGAAATTTCAAAAGCATTTATTGGAAAATGTCCTTTTAGAATTCCTTTTGGAGAATGAAGTTTCCTACTGTCATTAAAGATGGCACCTCCTTCTTACACTATTCAAAATCATATTTCTATTCTGTAGTCAAAATAGGAGCCCAGATATCTTCATGTGCTGATCTCTCCAGCAGGTGATTGATGGGGCTTGAGGACATATAAATGTTTATGATTGTATTTTTATATCTCCTGCTGTACAGTTCTTTAATTTGAGAACTGGCATTTTTTTTATCCTCTTTCCTATCCCCTTATATAGTAACCTCTTTTGTGGATAGGTTTCACCATATATTTCTATCTCTTCTTATAGTCTTTAAATCCCCCCTCCTCAATTTAAAATAATATCTTTCATGTTCTTCCTTTATACTGTTCTGAAATTGGAATGATTTTACAGGGAATTAGGTGAGATTCTGATAGTGACCCCTCTTTAATTACTTTCAAAGGTACTGCATCAGTAATTCTTTAGCCACTCTTTTTGGAATCCAACTCACAGAGGCTCATGTACCCCTCCAAGACTATCAGACCAGTAACAGTGTGACGCCCAAAATGGTTGTACTGGATGCAGGACGGTACCAGGTAAGGAGCTGACTTTGGGGTGCTGTTGTTTTCTTGTGATGTTATCAGTATGATCTGGGCCAACAGTAGCTAAAGATTAAACCTTGTTTAGTTTTCTCCCTTCCCTCAAGGACTTTACTAAAATCCTTCATGGAATGTCGAAACAGTTCTTAATCTGGCTGGGTCTTAACATAAATTTTAACAGAATTTTTTGAAAATTCTAATAGACAATTTGTCTTTACACAAATACATCCTAACATGCATTACAAATATTAGACATCAGAATATTTATAATGTAAGTATTTTAAATATGGACTTAAGAATCTATAAGATCTAATTCAGGATTTATTTAAAAGCTACCCAGTTTTCTTATCACCTTGTTTTCTCCTTGTTAGTAACTTATTAGCAAGTATCTTGGTTATCTTGTGGTGCTATGGCTTTAACAAACCAAATGTATTCTCTGATAGTTCCAAAGGCTGGAAGTCCAAATAAAGGATGCCAGCTTTAGGGAAGGCCCTCGTGTGCTCTCCCTCTCACGGTCTCACCCTCACTTCCCTCAGTTCTCGGGAAAGGTGGGTCAGCGTTCAGTGGAGATGTCCATGTGTCCTGATCTTCCCCAGTACCGAGAAATTACCTAGTTTGAGGCGTCTCAGTTCAGAAGGGTGCATCCTACTCCTGGTGATTATTTTTTGGTGTTACTGAGATGGCCCCTTCTTGACTGGCTTTCTTCCCCATTTATCTGTTGTGAGATAGAAGGTCTTTTAGGCCACAGACTAGGGGAATTTCCCTTTTATCTGTCAGAGCAATAATGGCATTGAGGGAGTATCAGAGCCCACCTTTAATTATTTCTCAATATTTGACTTACCAGACATGGAGAATTGTTACATAGTAATAATATATAATTACTTATGTATAATTACTTCTATTATATCACCTTATATCATCGCATGCATATATTTTGGGAAACATCATTTTGTCTGTAACAGTAGGCCTTTCTGTACGCCTGAGGGGGAAAAATTAGGAGTGTAGTTTCCAGTCAGGAGTTTCTGAATTTTATTTCAGGCTCTGTCCATATGTTCCAGCTCATACATCAAGTGACCCTAAGCAAGTTACTTGAAATTCTTGTACAGATGGATTCCTTTTCTGCAAAATAAGAACAATAGGAGTTATTGAAATCAAATGTAACAGTACTTTACAATACCAAGGACTTTGTCTTGGAACAGAATAGATATAAATGTTATTAGAAAGTAGTTAATAAAGTAATGATGAGAAAACCTAACAAAACAGAATGAGTTGTTGATAAAGATTTAGATGAGTCTTGTAGTCATTAATTACACCCAGGGAAAAAAACAGAGTCTCAGAGGTTTTATACTGTAAGATTTCATATATGTGTCTTTCTTGAAAAATCAAAACTATAGCATTGGAGAACAAATCAGTAGATTTTAGGGGTTGAGAGATGGTGACTCTACAGGAATGACAGGAAGGAGGTTTTTGAGATGATGGAATGATTGTATATCCCAGATTGGGATGATGATTACACTAATCTGTACAATAAAACTCCATAACAACAAAAATAATTAATTTTACTGTATGATAATTAAAAATAATTTTACAAAGAGAGACCTAGAGCTCTCCATTTGTATTCTCCTTTTTCCTTATTAACTCTTAGTGATTTTTCAGTTGGAGTGGTTTTTATCTCCCAGGGGATGTTTGTCAGGATCTGAAGAATTTTGGTTGTCACAACTGGTGAGGGAGTTATTGCTAGCATCTAGTGAATTGGGAGACAAGGAAACAACTAAACATCTTAAAACAGTTAGGACAACTTCCCACAGCAAAGAATTATCCAGCTCAGACTATCAGTAATTTTTAGCCTGAGAACCATTAAGACTCCATCATCATCTATATCGAGACCGCCAGAATGAGTGCCCCCTTTTATTCTTGACATTGCCAATGGCAGGGAGTCCAGGACTCTCAGATCTTCTCTTTTTCACGATAGTCCTTCTGCGTGGTTGATCCAATTTTCCAACCTTTTCCAACTCTTGCGAAACCTTCTAGTGGGTCTTCTCAACCTCAGTTGAGTAGAACTCATATTATCTTCAGTTCTTTTTTGAAAAGTTTGTTTACTTTCTTGATTCTGACTAAAATTTGTCTCTGCTGTGAGTGAATTCACCTCTTTGCTGTTAGTCCTTTTCAGGGTGGCATTTTTTCCCCGCCCCTCCCTGGCCCCTTACTTTGAACCTACCTTTGAGATAACTGTCCTTGTTCAATCTTGCCACTTCGAGGCTTCTTCCTAATTTTGGTCTGAAATCCCTAAGCCTGAGTTGTGTACTGTCTAGACTGTATTCACAAATGGCTTCGTTTTGGACTCATTGGAGAGACCCCATAGTTGGTTGCCCTCATTGTTTGAGTTCCTTGCTTAGTGTTATTAGTCCTGTTTTTTCATGAATAATTGTCCAACCTAATAACCTCTCAGATCACTGGCATCTCAATAATCCTATTTTCCCCATACTCCCTTGGTGTCACATCCTAGAACCCAGTGGCAACTCCTCTGTAATCTCAATTCAGTCATCTTGCTATTAGACTACCACTGTCTTACTCTAGTACTTTTGTGCCAACAATTGTTTGACTACAGCAGGGACCCGCACTCATTTATGCCTCCACTGTTTCTATTAAAAAAGCATGTGTGGCTTGGAAATGGTCTAATTCAGTATTTCATAACTCCACAAAGGGGAACTGTCCCTATCAACAACATTCACAGTTCAAAACTAATTCAGATAAGGTCACCTCTTTCTCCCATGCTCCTGCAACTACTTCTACAAATTGCAGCACCAGTCTTAACTGTTCTGCTGGATCTAAAATCAATTGCAGTGACCACGAGACTTTGAAGAATCATATTCTCACAGTTGTGGGATTTATTGAGGAAGTTAACAAATTCTAATTTAGGTTGACAGCAAGATACATTCCCTCAGTCCAGGCAGCTTCTCAAGCAAAGTCACAGTCACTTTGACCGTTAGCCTAGTGGCTTAGGTCATTACAAAGTTCCTTTAGTCTTGCTAATTATGATGTCTTTACTCAGTTCTCCAGCAAGCTTCAATTGCAGTTCTCTGGTTCCTTGGGGCAGCAGTCCCAAATCAGCTCTTTGTCATGTCAGTCTCTGGTTCTCTGCTGAGGCTCCTGTTGCTCTTGTGTTGATCCCAGTCTGGCTGGTGCAATAATCTCTGACCCCAAAGGACATATGCTGTCTTCCCTTCCTTGTTGGTATTGAGATTCCCAATTTCTGCTGCTAAAATGGCTCAATTTAAACCAAGTAGGATGGCAAGGCTAGATCATACACTCTGTATGATCCTATCCATCCATGTAGCAAAGTCAAAAGTCAGTGGCTAGGAAGGTAATTTTGAACAGTAAACCTTTGACATCATAGTTGCATACTCCCATACAGAGCCACTACATTAGACAATGCTGAGGAAACGCTTTTCACGTGGTCAGTCCTGCAGCCATAGGTCTCCCATATGCCCTTCTTCACCCATCTCAAATTCTTCCTTTTCAACTTAGATTCTTGTGTCCATATTTTCCTCTCTTGTACTTATCATCTGATAATGTTCTTTCTCTTTATCATCATAGTTGATATACACCAACCCTGGTTAAATTGAACTCTCCACCTCTTCCACTGCTATGTCTTACTAAATATTAATCACCAGCCACTTTTTAAGTGAGCCTTTAGCATTGCCTCAAGTCATCCATTTTTCTAGTCTGATTAATCTCTCACTTTCCTGGACAGCTGTTCTCACCTTTTCTTATCAAATGTCCAGCACCTCTTCTCTCACGCTTGTCTAGCCAGGTCCCTTGCTTCTTTTTTCTTTTAAGAAAATAAAAGGCTATTGGATTTTTTTAAATTGTTCTTACTACTTGCATCTATAGACATATACTCTGCTTTTATGCTTGTATTAATTAGTAGATGGTATGCATTCTTACCTAAGACCAGTCTATTTATATATTAGATCCTTTTATCTACTCAAGGATGTGACTCTCATAATTTCCCCCCCTCTTTCCTGTTTCATCAGGTTTTGTCTCACTTTTGAATCATAAGAGCAACAAATATATAATGCACTGTAATAATCTCATCTTTTTTAAAAATGTTTTTATTATTTTTTTGTGTGTGTACTGTCAAATCAGATCTGACTGGTTCAGGAGGAGATTGCCCCTCCTTCTCCAGCAGAACATCTCATGGATTCAGACCACACTTCTCTAGCATTGCAGTGCAGCTTCATGCCACTAGGCCACCAGAGCTCCCCATAATAATCTTATCTTTTAAAATAAACAAACCTTATTTTGGCTCTGTGATACCCTTCTGAAGACTCAATTTCTGCTCTCCTTTACAACAGTACCTTTCAAAAGAGCATTCACTATTCTCCGCTTCCTCTCCTGTCATTTTATCTTGAATTTGACACAATATTGCTTGCTGAAAGTGAGGCAGACTTTAAACACTTGCTATAGGAGATCAAAGACTGCAGCTTTCAATATGGATTACATCTCAACATTAAGAAGATGAAAAGCCTCACCACTGGGCCAGTCATTATGATAGATGGAGAAAATATTGACATTGTCAACAGTTTAATATTACTTGAACCTGCAGTTAACACTCAGTACCAGTGATCAGGAGACTTACTGCAATGGGAAAGTCTGCTGCCAAGGACTTCTCCAAAGTACTAAAGAGCAGTGATGTCTTTTTAAAGACTAAGGTGTGTCTGATTCAAGCAGTGATCATTCTGCTGTGCAGCTGAAAGAGCTAGACATTGACTAAGGATGACAAAAGAATACCTAAGTGCCTTCGAGTCATAGTGTTGGAGAAGAGTACTGCATATCTTGTGGACAGCCAGAACAACAAAAATATATTTCTTGTAGAAAGTGCAACCATAGTGCTCCTTAGAGGCAAGGATGACAGAGCTTCGTCTCACATACATCAGTCTTATTGTTAGGAGAGCTATTCATCGGAAAGGGGAATCATGCTTGGAAAGCTGGAA